AATTCGATGCGAACGAAGTATTCATCAGATTGATAATGACGGGTAGGGTGGCCGGAAGAATGTCTTTAAGCACTCCAGCGGACACTCTATCAAGCCCGGGCGCTTTGTTTGATGGGATATGCTTAACAATCTTTTCAATGCCCTGTTCCGTCACAGCATGAAACTCAAATTTGTTCGTCCGTAGCATCGACTGACTCATCCGAGAAGCCATTGTGATCGCATAGGGCCTTGGCTTTAGGGGCTGCAGCGACCCCTACCGAAACGTAGAAATCGCTAAATCTGTTCGCTCGGACCGTAGGATCTTCGACAGTAGTCAGTGGTGGATCTTTGTTGGGAAGGCATTGATCTATAACTTTCCAGACAGAATTTGTGTTTCTGCTGCACTTCAGTGGTTCGGAGCGAACATTTTCCTTCTCTACGATTCTCATCACTCGCTTAACCTCTTGCCTGAAAAAATTAAAACGCTCCATTGCGCTCCATTGTGGCGCATTGATTGTTTGATCTCAGCTGTAATGAACGGATTCGGGCATGACTTGATCTTGATGCGTTTAATTTGTGCGTGTTCATTCAGCGTGTCGAGGAATAAATTATTGAATACGTCAACTTGATCATCGAGGTCGTCAAAAATATTAACAAGGTGAAAAGGGACACACATCAAATCGCCTCGGAATAAACCAGGGTTGTAGTTTTTGTAGCTTCTGGTGAAAACACTAGAAGCTTTGAGATTCAAAGTGACCGCCACCAAGCAATGATCAGCAACTGCCGAAATATTTACATCGCAGCTAGTAAGAAAGCTCTTGTTTGTTGTAAGCGCCACGTCAATTAGCGTCACTGATGTATCAGTGGTCCTTATCGGTTGTGTAACAAGCTGCGAGAGATTAAGTGAATTACAGAGATTCATCAAAGCTTGGCCCTCAGGACAAGAAAAGCCAGCAAAAAGTCTGCATTTAAGTCGCCAGTAACCATAATTTCCATTCCTAGAGGAAGCGAGCCTATAAAAGAGGCAGTAAAATCGTCCAGGAATCTAGACATGGACATGGAGTCTGGCCTTTAAACAGCGCATAGTAGGAAAGATTTTGATTTCCTGCACTGGACTTCAAGCCAGAGTTGTTGGGAGTTAGCATCCGTAATTGTCTACAAGTTATCGATGATCGATGCGTTAAATGAGTTTCTAATGTAAACAACGATCCCTCCTCCCTTCAGATTTATGCGGGCCTCTATCCTGCCTGAAAATGACATAGCCAGAGCAATATTCTTCACCCTTAAGAACGTCTTTTTGAAGCTCTATGCGTAATTCAGCCTGTGTGCAGCCGATCACTACCTTCCGAAAGAAACTGGAGGAGGTAAAATGCTTGCTAGCGCGGCCTAGATTTACTTGAGGTTGTAATGATGTGTTTAATACGAGATGTCATTAACAGAAAGTCTAACGTGCCCAAACTGAAACTAAACTCAATATAGAATAAAATCCACAAACCCTCACCTCCAAAGGTTGACTTGAAGCTCTCACTCGGAGGCCCACGTGCAGTATTGGTTTGTGGTCATGAAAGCATAACGTTTTCGCCTGGTTATCAGCTCCCTGCAACATGCGATACAATCATCAAAATAAAAAGAAATAAATCCAGATAAAGGTTTGTCCATTTGTGGACTAAAATGAAATCTCATATTTAAGCGGATTTCATCGCCAATAAAATGACGCAGACAATTTCAAGGAAGGGTATTCATTAAGCTCACACTCCAGTTCAGTTTCGAAACACTAACCTTTTGCTCTGCACTATTAATAGTTTCCGTCACATCTTTACGCTTGTATGGAGATTACATTCCTACTGAACGCATTAATCACAGAGTACTAGCTCCACTTGTCGTAGTTTCTTTGTGAAAGTTTGCATCTGATGGTTTTCAAACGCTTAGATCGTGTAATTTGTCGGATCGCGTGACCAGAACTACAGTAACCATAGATACCATGACGTAAGATGACGTAACTGGAGAACAGGCGTCATTGTTGCATATTTCAGGCTAGCGGAAGACGGCGTTAGGCGCTCCTTTCCTCGCTCCCCGTTGGGTTTGCTTTCGCTCGCTTGGAAAAACGCAACAAAAAGATAGCTATTTTTGTTGTTGTTGAAAGACCATTTACTTCAAATTAAAGGAACCACAGATGCGAAAAAAGAAGAAATAAAGGAACTGTTTCGCAATAAATGTTTTCATAGGACCTCACAATCTTGAGCCGATGGTCACTCCTAAGATAGACCGGATCATTTTTTTTTTCTTTCACGCCATATCGTAAAGAAATTCGTTTCCAAATTAAATTGTAAAGGTTTTCCGTCTAGGAAACGCAGTGGATGGGGGAACTAAAGCAGTTTAGTACATCCTTGAGATGGAGTATGTGTTCCATTAATTTTGTGTTTAGGCACTGATGACGAGACTCAAGATAACCCGTGACTAGACTCAGTTCAGCTTGCTACGGGTAAAGTGTGACGATTTTTCTTTTTTTTTTTTTTTTTTTTTAATAATATTATATTTCAATTATTAACTTTAATCGGGAGCATACCCCTTTTTAAAAATTAATTGGAGACGAGCGACTGGGATAACTTCATTCATGAATTCTTGGTATCACCTAAAAATTAGTTTTAAACATAAATTTTTAATGTCGGGTGCAGTGATAAATAGACCATTCTGTTATCAATTTCATTTTTCTATTCAACTCAAAAGAAAAGAAAAAAAGGAAAAAAAATCCGTTTGTGTGCTAACATTTTTGAAACCGTGACCTAAACTGCCTCCTATCTGAGGAAGTTTGATTTCCTGGGTATTCTTACGATGAAGCAAAAAACCAAGGAAATACTTGAGACCACACCTATCTGACAATGTTCAAAGGACTTGATAATCTTTAAATGATTTACTGTAAAGCATATGCATGTTCTAGATTTTAAGTACAGCTAGTGATCATGCGCATAATTCAATAAATTCACACACTTGCAAATCTCAGAAACGACACCTGCTTTATTTGCATCCACAAAACATCTCTGTCACACCCTTTCAGTCACTATATAAAACACCACACCAGTAGATCAACAACAAAAATATCTCCATTGGTTTCAGCACGCGCTGTTTCGCGTCTTGGTATCAGAAATCTTTAAATTTTTTTTAGCTAAATATGGTGAAGAGAGGTAGGGATGCATTTTCAATGGTTCCGTTAGCGATTCCGCTGGCGATGAAATAAAAACGTTCTTAGCGGAACTTCTCAAAAAGCCAAAATATGTTCAGCAGAGCCGAACTGGACATTTATCTAAATTCTGTGCTTTGTTGTCTGTCCTGCAGCTTCACCTTGACTTTTATCAATAATAATGTCCAACAAACTTTTAATCACTTTTCTCAGTGTTGAGGTAAGCTACACATTTCACAGTTCCCGCGTTCTCGTGTAGTGTCGACGTCCCCTGATCCTCGTGGCTCTGGTGAGGGGTCTGGGGATAGAATATGTAAACTGTAAGCATACATACCTGATATGATATCTTAATTTGGAAAAGGGAAAAGAAAATAACAATATGGAATCTACTTTTCCTAAATTGGTCCCAATTTTTTTAAATTGTACTGTTAAAGGAAAAATAGTTTTTGAACTAGTTTAATAATAAAAAAAAACTTAACCAATCAATATCGGCGTATGGACCCTCTTTGGAGGTTGGATGAATTCAATAAACAAAACTTTGAAAAAAACGAGTGGGAGAGAAAATACTCAGAGAGAAAAAAGATATTGAGGGAACCATTTTACCATTTGCTGCTTCCCTAAGCTATGTAACAGTACACCACTGTTCACTTTTACTCCAGCACCGAGCCAAATCAGCATCTTTGTTTCTGATCGCTTTACACAGATCTCCTAAGTGATCCTGCCAACACAAAAATTACCAACAAAAGTTAGACATGAAAACCTTAACATACATTTAGTGCGAGAATAAATAATAGAATCCAGCCTTGCTGATTTATCCCTCCGTTGTACGAGCTACAGATTGATTCAGGTTTGTAACCCTTTAACCCCTAAGAGTGACTGGCATCTAATTTCTCCTTACCATATCACGCTGAAACACTCCATTAAGGTCAGCAGAATAAAAGAGCTGATCACCGACTAAAGAAGCTCTTGATTGTTGGACAAATTCTCCATGTTGGTATAGTAGAAAATGTTTAGAGAGCCATAACAAGAAACAAGAAACAATAAACCATTACCAGCGTTGCACAGTGGATCAGCCATTTTGACATCTCAGTGACAAAGGATGAAGACACTGAGACAGAAATGTTTATTTTAAACAGGTGGATTTTAGATGACAACTAAGCACCATGATTAGAATTCAAAAGTTCAATGAGAAGCCACCAAACTAAGATAAAACTTGACTTTTTCATTATCACATGCCCAGTATTCTTTTCAATGACTGATCTTTCTGTGCTTCATGGGTTCAACTACCTAGCACATTGTCTTCTACTTCAGTTTTGAAATATAATCTCACTTTTTAAATGAAATGTGCACAGGAAATGACAATATCATATCTAGGGTGACTAAACAAGAAATCATAAAATGGTCCCCATTTTAGAATAAGCTTTATACTTAGCATGCAGAGTAATTCCCACATGTTTCATATTAACCATAATTTGCTTTTGCATCAATTCTACAATGATGTTAGCTCTCCAGTTACCTGAAAAAAAAACGAAGCAAATTAAAAAACAAACAAACAAAAAACTTGGCATTCATCATGAGCACAGGGTCTTCTATTGCATTATGTTTAGGTTCCCACAAGCCTAAATGTCTCCTTAAAACTTTTTTTATCCCAGACAAAAAGAGAGTGGTTTCCCTGTGACATCTTTCTAAATTTTACTGCAACAAGTGCAGTTATTCTCTCTTTACAACTCTCTACACTTTGGTTTTCTTTGCCTGCAACAAAAATACATCATCACACAAGAGGGCAAACTTCAGAGAGATAAAATATTTAGTACATGATAATTTTTTTTACTGATTAGAATCCCTGTTTTACTAACATCTTGTAGCAGAGCAAACAAAAGGACAGGCACACCAGGTTTTCTATTGTTTGGAGATTAACTTTCTCTAAGCCTTACACCCCAAATGGTGACAAGCAACTGATTTCTCCTTGCATTATTATCCCTAAATTAAACACCATGGTCATGAGAATAGAAGAAATTATTGCTAACAAACAAGGTCTTGATTGCTGAACAAATTCTCCTTGTCAGAACATTAAGAGATGTGTAGAGAAAAGAATGGAGAATATACATTTATATTCAGTTTGATGTTAGAGTGTAAAAGGTTAAAATAGACAATAGAGAATGCATGTGTATACATGTTTATTAAAGATTCTATAATATTATTGTGCTTCTACAATTTCCTTGGCTGACGGTGTGTTCTTGCAGGAATTTACACATGTGAGCACAGGGCACAGATGGGAAATGTGTATAACAGCATAACAGTTACATGAGCATCATCTTCCAAGCATGATGAATTTCATTTCTCTTTTTCTGTTGCTCAATTCTATGAATCTAATTTAATCTCACATGTATATATCATTTTCATTAGATTATTTTAAAGGTAGTATTTGAATTGAAGTAAAAAAAAGGAAATGTCCAGGTGACTTGCTATAGTCTCTATTTATCTCGAGTCCTTAATTTTTGAAAATGACTGTCAATTAAAATTGGGAATGTTATACCTCCCAAATCAAAAACCATTTTTTATTTGACCCTCATTTTCCCCTTTGGCCTCAGCTCAAGGAACAGTTGAGAGTCTTGGGAAAAGAAAACTCACTGTTTCCCTCAAAGCCAGTCATTAAGTACCTTATGTTTAAGCTCATGAACAAATTTTGAACTCAAACAAACTATGGACAGTTATGGCAAAGAATGCATTGCATTGAAAAACCAAGGCTTCCTTTTTCTATCACCCCTCTCTCTGTTGAGAACTTAACCCTGTTCACTTAGCTTTACTAAACTACACTGAAGAAACAATCAGTAGAGTTGTTTGTCTAGGTATTTAATCACTTGGCTCACTTTTGCTATAGTATTCACTCACTACAACAGATGTGCAAGAGCTACTTTTATCACCCAGAAAAGAATGCTTGATTTATCATGGGAATTTATGCTAGTAAATTAAATGTAATTGGTTGTTGCTAGATGATAATCAGAACAGAAGTCAATCAAGTCCTGTAATTAAATTGTGCTTTGTCTCTTGATAGCAAGAATTATTCTAAACATCTGTCACCGAGTACAAGATATACTACTGTCGAGCAACATGAAATCTCCGCCAACCCTGACAGGACACTTTTGCGCCCCCCCTTGACTGTCTTGTAGTGACAATAATCGAGTTTGTGGTTTGAAATCTAACATGGTATCAAAGCTAATTAAACACAGACAGAAAAGAGAGCCTGTTCAGTCTACCAGGAGACTTACTGCTTGTCTTATACAGGCTTTAAGAGCTCAAAACTCCTTATCACAGGCATGTTTAATTTGGTAATGTTGTCTTTCTGGGACACTGACAGCATCCATAAAGAAGGGCCTGAAAAAAATTAAATAAAAACCATTAAGGAAATAAAATATCTAAAACAACTTGGCAAATTTTGGTTGAGCATTAAAATAATCTCAAGCATATTCTCTGAAATATTAAATACAAGCCGTGTCAGGTTTTCAGTTGAGTGAGTCAACTCTCAAATCTCGGAAGTAAAACAATCAAGATCTCATCTAGTTGACTAACAGGAGACAATTTGGGACAGATTTGAACACTATAATGATCTTTTTACTTGTCATACACAGTGCTATTTATAACATTGATTGAGCCTAAAAACAATCTAGTATTTCTAAGCTTTTCCATGACCTTGGTCTGTGATTGGCTAAAATACTAGCACTATAATCAACCAATCAAAGACAAAAATGGCAATCTGTTGTCTTGTATTTTTCAGTGGCCAAAGTTGCTCTCTTTCTTTCTCTCTGTTTTTTTTTTCTTCTTTTTTCATATTTTAAAATCTTAATTACAAAACCACACATTACACTTACAATACATCAGCTACCTTAGTTTTATAAAAAAATATTCATGATCAATAAATTCCATTATAATCCAACAAATTCAACTATTTGCTTGTGGGCAATTGGTCTAAACATATCACATGACAGAATATCCCCTAGCTAAAACTGGGGGATATGCAAGTGATATTTCCCAATTTTCAAACCTTACATCCAATATGGAAAACTCTGTGTTAAAGATTTGATTCAAGATGAAGAGCATTGCTATAGAAGGAAAATGTTTCTTTTGTTCACAAAATCATTTCAGAGAACACTGACACACCATAAAAAGTAGTCTGTTCATAAACATTTTTCTTGTGTGTTGAAAAATATTTGAAGGATAATAAAAATAAAAGAGGGAAGCTGTTACATAATTTATAAAATAAACTTCACAGGCATGAGCATTCTTTTCTCCAACAAAGGCATGGGTTGTCAAAGGCTGCCAATTGGGTTGTCATCCATCATATACTGAGCCAAAAAAATCAGAATTTCAGGCAACCAAAATTAGACAGCTCTTCAAGACATGGGTAATATCTGACCATCAGTATATATGAAGATGGTGGTCTGTGGGAATCACAGTCCCAGAGGTACTCATGATGGCCAAAAATATTTTAACAGTCCAAACAAAAACACTAATAATAACGGTAAAGAACTTATATGAATGATACAAAATGAGTAAACTAATTAATAAAAAGTAACAGATAAGCCTGAGATTCTTCTGTGATCTTTTCCCTATGAGCTAATTGCTTCAGGTAAATTTCCATTTTCCTTTGTCCGCCATTCGCCTTTGTCACGGTATCGCCATCTTGAAAATGACGTAATGCTTTTTGGCATGAAAACGAGGTCACGCGTGGTTCTTGACACACTGAACACTCGAGCGATCATGCGGAACAAAGATCACTGTTGTGTTCCTAAGTGCAATAACAATAGATCAAAAGTGCAGTCTAATATAACCTTTCATCAATTCCCGAAAGACAAAGACTTAAGAAGACAGTGGATTATAAAAATTAAGCGTGATGTCGGCCGGTCCTTCAAGGTAAATGGCCTTTTATATATCATAGTTCAGTTTAGCGTCGTTTCAGCGTTGTTTATATAGCAAACCTTATATTTTTTCCGATATCTTTCAGATAACCAACAGTACAAGAGTTTGCTCTGATCATTTTAAACCCACAGATATAAAAAAAACGCTAACAGGAAAAAGTGTACTCGTTAATGGTGCTGTACCATCCGTTTTTGAATGGACAACTTTATCAAAGAAACGAAAGTCACCAACGAAACGCGAATGCACAACACGTACTAACACAACCGAGATTGATGTCGTGGATAATATACAGCCAATCTCCTCTACAGGTATTTATTTTTTATGAAATCGTACTTTAGGCCCGCCCTAAATATTTCTAAACATGTTATTTTCTACATTCCCACAGTCGAAATTGGGCCCATCGAAGATTCAAGCGTAGACGAAAATGTCATCGATACTAGCAGCCACATGGAGGACTCCACCGTAACTACTGACACCACAATCATAACACCTACTGTCAACCTACATGATTATTTATTTACTGAACCCGAAAAGCCTGTAGAAGAGCTACTTGAGGCAGCGCAAGCTCGTATCGAACAATTAGAACAGCTGCTTTCAAAACAATCTTTTTACAGACAACTGAAAGGGATGTCAGACAAACGCGTTAGATTCCATACTGGCTTTTCGTCATTTGCTATTTTTGTGAGTACCTTCAATGCCCTTAGACCCACAGCTGAAAGTATGTTTTCATGGTCCCAAGTACAGAGAGCACGAGCAAAAAGTGGGAAAGATATAAGTAACATGAGAGACACTCTCAAGACATGCAAACTTAGCTTATTTGATCAGTTTTATTTATGCATTACTAAGCTGAGGCTGGGTACTTTTAATGAGAAACTAGCCAGTGAATTTGATATTTCTATTTCAACTGTGAGTAGAGTTTTTATTTCTTGGGTTAACTTTCTCTATTTTGTTTTGGGAACCATTCCTATATGGCCCTCTCGGGCAAAAATTGACAAACATATGCCTAAGTGTTTTAAATTGTTATATCCTAAATGCCGTGGTATTATTGATGCCTCAGAGATCAAGGTACAAGCACCATCTAGTATGGTTTTGAATAGCAATTGCTATTCATCATATAAGAGCCACACAACTTACAAAGGCAATGTTGTAATATCTCCATCTGGGGAAATTATTCATGTAAGTTCTCTTTTTGAAGGAAGTATTTCTGACAAGGAGCTTGTTAAGCAATCAGGTTTGTTGAATTTACTTGAGCCAGGTGATCAAATAATGGCTGATAAAGGATTTACTATAGAGGATCTATTAAAGCCAATAGGTTGTGGAGTAGCAATGCCTGCCTTTTTGTCAAGTAAGGGTCAATTTTCAAAGAAAGAACTTTCAACCAGTAAACAGATACATAATTTAAGAGTCCATGTGGAAAGGGCCATAAGAAGGGTGAAAGAGTTTCACTATTTTGATAAAGTTATACCTCTTACAGTAGCTGGCAGCATTAATCAAATATGGACAGTGGCATGTCTTATTACCAATTTCCAGGGGCCTTTGTTGCATGAAAAGCAATATATCTAAATATGTATACAATTGTTGTAAAATAGATGGAAGAGTAAGCATCATTTAAAGTAAAGTATGTAAGGATCTGTAATACAAATAGTACTAACAACTTTTAACAACTAAGAGTTAGTTGACATTGAGTGAGGGTACACTACGTATTAGGTCCAACCTAGGTAAGAACTATGCCATCTGTTAACATGTGATGTGGAAGGGTGAATAGTAGGGTGGCCCTATCCCCTAGGGGCACCCTTTTCGTATGTACATGGCATATTGGTTAGGCATTAAAATAAACAGTAAAATCAGTAAAAATTATATTGTTAGTACTATTTTTGTTTTACAGATTCAATGCAAGCTTTCAAACTAGCTTTTTGGAAAAAAAAATTATGAATTTAATAACTTTACATTTATTCACAAATTTCATTATTGCCAAATATTATAAAAATGCCCTTTTGGGGTTTAAATACAAAACCTGTTGAAGTCATTCATGTATTTTTATTTATCATGTTTGTACAGAATGTTCTGTTTAATAACAGTAAAAAACTATTAAATGGCTTGAAATACACCCAACTTAGTCACAGTATTTGAATGCATGATAAACAATGAAATATGTACAGCTGTTTGTAAAAATTATGGCGCTTACAATATATTACAGACATATAGGCTTAAATGAAACTGAATTATCATAAGTATTGTATTTTTGGAAAAAATACAAAAACTATTAAATTACCAATCATGAACCCAATGTTTTTAAAGTTGTGGCAATAATTTCTGCAAACAGCTGTGTAATGATAATTACTAGAACAAGTTCTGAGTCTAATTAGGTTTGACTTGTTACATTTTAACATTTTAAGAATGCTGATTCAAATGTCTTTACTCCACTTCCCACCAAACTTTGTCACACACAATTAGCTTGTTACTTAGGCACGAAGTTATTTTGTATAAGAGACATACAATAAATTATTGAACACATGTATTCAGGTGATAATCAAAAAAAAATAAATTCAGTTTGTCCAGCATTTCAGAAAAGAGAAGTTCATCAAAATATACTCGTTCACAGTGAAATTCGTCCTTGCAGTAAACAAAGAAATCGCACCACTGACTTCCTGTTAAACCAAGGCATCCCATAACTTGATAATAATACTTGTGTGTCTTCTTCAATGAATATGACCCATTTCGTTCATTAAACTTTAAATACTGAAGGTTATCCAGATGACTTGCTGGAGAGCACTTTATTTCTATCAGGCCCCATGGATGTTGTTCAGTGTCGTCAAACACTCTTCTGTCTGGGCTACAGCCTAGGTGTGGGAGACATGGGTTTATAAGAAAACCTACTAGGTGAGTGTCTCTGCCAAACTGTGTTTTGTACATATCAGCAGCTACCCCCTCATTTTGTATCCCATATTTCATGGCTGCAGTTTGGATTACTTTTCCCTTTAGTAAACGCGTAGAAAGGATTTCATGGTCTTTTCTTCTTGAGCATATATCTTTGAAATTTGAAGCTGTAAGCCTAAACTTCCTTAGTTCATGCCATGCTGTTGTAGTTGACTGTTCCCTTGTCTCCATTTCAAAGTCAATAGACTGTTGACCTGATATTGCAAGGGAGCTGAAGAAAAGGTCTTGTTTTTCATTGAGCACTGTATCTGGATAGCTTAAAGATGGAAAGTTGAATGCAGGTAGCTGTATGTTAATATTGCTCTTAACTTTCAATGGCTGTTGATAGCTTATGACACAGCCTTTTGGCACCTTTCCAAAGGCCGAGTCTACTAAAATTGGAGGCTCACTTTGTTCATCTTCCCATATTCTCATAAATCCAGGTTGATTGTTGAGATTTTCAAACTGTGGCGACAGCACACTAGTCAAGTCAAGGCTACTTAATGATTGCTGGAAGGGTTTGTAGATCGTGCTTGCCACACCACACACCTTTCTCTTCTTTTTAGGTTCATGCAATTTATCTTTTGGCTTTGACTTTTGTATAATCAAATCTGTCACTGGCCTTGCTTTAATGCCCTCTTTACGACTGGGGATATGCCATCTCTGCAAAAAAATAATATACAAATATACTATATGAATTCAAAATTGCTTATTGTGTTATGTTTAAAAACAGCAGTGTGATTAAAAGGAGTTTTTAAGGAAAAATATTGGTAAGATACAGTCAAATCTCTATACATTAATGACTGTTTTTTCTTATTGTTTATCATCAAATCTATTATTATTATTATTAAATTTTACCTGTGCCTTTGATGTTTTAGAAACCATTGGCGGGACACTTTTTAAGCCTAATAGCTGGAAATGGGCAAGAGTATAGAGCAATCCAAGAACATGATGGCAAAGACCTTGTCCAGCAGCACAACTACACATATACTTGTTGATGCTAGCCTCAATAGAGGAGCTCTCGAACACAACAGACAACTTGTGAGGATCTTCGTTCTTTTTCATACTTCTGAAGCATTTAGCCCGAGCCACTACTCCTGAATCCTCTTCCTTGCAAAGTTTTACTGTTAAAAACCGAGAAAAAAGAGTTAAAACTCAAAACACTGAGCACAGAAACAAAATATTGGAAAGACAGTCAAACAAAGAAAGCTACCACGAGGTCAACGAGGCTCACCTTCAATATCGTGAATATATTCTTCGTGAAAGAATTTATATCCTCTTGTTACAGTGGCTTTGATCGGTAGGTTCTTCTCAGCAAAATCCTCAACAAAAGAGTTTGTAACTTTGGGTATTTTTGTTATATTTTTGTGCCAAAATTCGAGTTCAACGCTATCGCTACTAGTCGCCATTTTGTTTGTGAACTTACCACGCGTGGCCTCGACCTCATGTACAATATTCAATTCCGCAGTCAGCGGTTAGCGAAATGGCGCGAGGACGTGCTCTGATTTTCTCCTGCTTTTACGCGTCAATACTATTCTTATCGCTCACCAAATTCGCCGAAAGACAGCCTTCTCTTCAAGAAAATAGCAAAATCCCCATCACGAAGAATTTCTCGTGGTCGAGGCGTTTTCTCATATCAGTATACGCAAGCCTCTGCAATCAACGGAAGACGAAAACGATCCGCCATCTTGGCCTGTTGTGGCATGTGCGAGGTTTTCATGCGACCAGGATATGTTACTATGCGAACTCGCACTCAACATTCCATCAAATGCGACTCTACACAAGTGGGGACATCGACATAAATCCTGGTCCAGATGAATGTTCAGTGTGTAACAAGCGTGTTGCCCGAAATCATCGAGCGGTAAATTGCGATAACTGCAACATGTGGTGTCACATAAAATGTGCCTCGATCAGGCCAAGCGAATATAAGAACTATCAAAGACTTCCTTCATTTTCCTGGTGGTGTCCGATTTGCCTTTGGTCGTCTTTACCATTCGACAATGAGACAAACCTAGATTGCTCATCTGACTCGCATCTTTATCCATCTTTCGAAGTGGACCTGCAACTACCAACACTAGGTTGCTCATCTGATTCGCATCTTTATCCATCACTCAAAGCGGACTTGCAACTACCAGGTTTGAAGATCTCACACATCAATGTAAATGGTCTTCCTAACAAGTTATTGGAAATTAAAGCTCTTTTACTTTCGATGAATTTTGACATTTTAGCCATAACTGAATCCCATCTAGGTAAGGATATTACTGACGACGAAATCGCCATTACTGGATACAAAACTGCTCGATGCGATCGAAACGATGGCCGAAAAGGCGGTGGCACGGTCATCTACTTTGCTGAATACTTAGATGCATATGAGCGTCGAGACATAAATGTAAACAACTCTCTAGAAGCTGCGTGGATTGACGTTACGGTGGCGTCTCAGAAACTTCTAGTTGCTTCAATGTATCGCCCACCCGATGACACTACGTTTTTAAATAAATTTTCTTCTACTTTGGATCGCATATGGATGAAACGAACGAATATAATTTTATTGGGGGACTTCAATTTTAATCTTTTGCCTAAATCCAGGGACACAGATTCTTCAACCTGGAAATTCCGTCAACTTTTGAATAGATTTAATCTAAAGAATGTCATCAACAAGGCAACAAGGATCACTGACACCTCCACAACGCTGATTGATTTGGTGATTTGCTCTGACACCTCAAAAATTTCTCACCAGGGTGTTTGTGATTTAGGAATCTCAGATCACCACTTAATATATGCAATCGTAAATCTCAAAAGAAAACGTCAGAAACCAACGCTCAAAACAGTCTACGATTATAAAAAAGTAGATCTAGACTCATTAAGAACGGACTTTGCTGCAGCCCCATGGAGTATCTGCAATGTCTTTCACAATCTGGACGATGCTACTTGGGCTTGGGAGTATTTATACAAGGACATTATGAAATCTCACCTTCATGCTCGACGAGTAAAGATAAGAAGAGGGGGCCTACCCTGGATGAACTCTTCCATACGTAAAGAGCTGAACAAACGCTACAAATTACTCCTTAAAGCACAGAAAACACCGAAGGGCTCACAAGCCTGGATAGATTACAAGAAGGCAAGAAATAAATGCACCAAACTCCTTAGATTAGCGGAATCAAGTTATTGGCTAACAAAATTTAATGAGACAACCTCTGCTCGAGATTTTTGGAAGACAGTAAGATCTTTCGAGGGAAAACAAACAGCTACAAATATCGGACCGATTAAAGATAGTTCCGGAGTTATTCACGCAGACGATACATCAAAGGCCAACACTTTAAATTCCTTTTTTGTCAATGTTGGAAAATCCCTCTCGAAATCAACACAAGATTCTTCAGTAAACTCTCCTTGTCAGTCCGCAAGAAAAAACAGTGCCTCTCTTTATAACATAGCCCTTAACAGAGATCTTTTAAAATCTTCTCTAAGGTGTTTGAAACCTGGCAAGGCGAGTGGACCTGATGACATATCCAGCAAAGAGCTGTACCTTATTGGAGACGCATTTTTGGATTGCTTTATGCCACTGGCTCAAAGAAGTATTTTGGAATGCAAACTCCCCAGCCAGTGGAAACAGGCACAGGTAAAATGTCTTCACAAGAAGGGGAATACTCTCGACAGTGAAAACTACAGGCCTATTTCCCTTCTCAGCATTCCGGGCAAGCTATTGGAGAATGTTGTAAGCCAACAACTTGATAACTTCTTATATAGCAACAATCTGATCTCCTTAAATCAATGGGGCTTCAGAAAAGGAAGCTCACCCGAGCTGCTCTTACTTTCCGTTACAGAACGATGGCGTTTAGCCTTGGATGAAAGCAATATTATTGGCGTAGTCTTTATTGATTTTCGGAAAGCGTTCGATTGCGTCAACCACACAGTTCTTATGGATAAATTACACTCTATAGGTATTAGTGGCTCTTTTTACGATTGGCTCTTAAATTATCTTGATAATCGTAAACAATTTGTCACCGTAAATGGTTCAAACTCAGAATTGTTGGAAATAGATACGGGTGTACCCCAAGGGTCTTTACTTGGTCCTAGACTTTACAGCATTTACTCAAATGATCTGCCCGGAGCCACAACGAACGCTTCCGTTGAAATGTTTGCAGATGATACTACTGTTTTTTGCATTGGAAATACTGTTGATGAAGTTTTATTTAAGATACAGAAAGCGATCGTTGACTTAAACAAATGGGCTAAGGATAACTTCATGACTATTCATCCCGCAAAAAGTGAACTAATGTTGTTATCAAAATCAAGATTCATCGGACCCCTACAGAAAATTTGTTTAGGGCAAAATGAGTTGTCATTTGTTTCCAAAGCTACATGTTTAGGGATTCTTATCGATAATAAACTCTCTTGGTCGCCACATATAAAATCTTTGAGCAAACGTTTTTCGGCAAGAGTGAAGAAACTCAAACACCTAAAAGGACTCGACAATCGCCTCTTAGAGTCAATTTATTTCAAAGGTATCATTCCAAGTATTGCGTATTCTATTGCATTATGGGGATCTTCTAAGTCACTTCAGACACTGGAAGACATTCACATTGGAGCCGCGAGATTTATTTTTAACCTAAAGGAATCTACCCCCAATACTGAAGTTCTGGCAGCGACAAAATGGAAGTCCTTATCATATTTCTATAAAAAGAGGATTGCCACTATATCCTATCAGGCATTTTACAATAGAGCTCCGGCTGCTATAAGCTCTTTGTTTACTAAACACTCTCCGTTGAGAAATCTAAGGGACAATCTGAAGCTATTCGTGCAACGCCCCAAAAGTGACTTCCGTCGATCTTCTTTTTCTCACCATGCGTCTGTTCTATGGAACAACTTACCCGTGTACTTGAAGAGCAAACCGAACATTGTTTCTTTCAAATCTGCTCTCAAAGCAAAATCCGACATTTTAGATAAAATAACATTTAATGGTTTACAGGGACTAAATAAAGACGTTGTAAATTACATATATTAAAGCTATTTTACTACTTTTATTTATTTTATTACTTTTTATTACTACTGTAAATCAACTGTATATTATCTTACTAGGTCTTACATCCTTTCTTACTTACCATAATTTCGCATCTTGTTATTGTTATTATTTAAATTTTGTAGACACTCTTTAGTTTTGTAGGTCCACATCAGCTTTTTAGCTGCCATTTATCGACCTACGTGACAAATAAAGTATGTATGTATGTATGTATGTATGTACGTAATCCAAGATGGCGGGCCGTGACAAAGGCGAATCTTTAACCGCGCACAATGATCCTGGAACAAAGCGGAAATGAATTGGACTACAACCGGAAGTTGGGAATCACTTGTCTTTGTGATACGTGCCAGCTGCGTATCAAACAAACAGACCTTAGAGCCTTCTTAAACACGCTTACAAAATTCTGCCAAAACCAAAATGTAGGAAACTTAAGGACGAAAAAAATTATGAATGGTTTATTTTTTTAAGTTTTGTCAGCTGTCAATTGGTTGCCAAATTTAGTCTCTTCACAGCAGGATTCTGTCTGTACTGAAGCAAAACCGGAAAAAAAAATAATTGAAACAAGGTTCGCTTAGTTTGAATGTGGCATTTAAGACATTTTGTTTATTTTTCTATTTAGCCAGGTTACCTGCATAAATATTTGATAATGGTGTTCATAAGAAAATGGTTGGGTTGAAATATATCATAATGTTTTGCCAGCAGGTAACTGTATTAATGAAAAATGTTTTAAAAAAAGTGCGCATTCAATGTATATCCTGAGTTGTTGCATCAAGTTGGCCAATTTTAACAAATACTCAAGCCCTTTTAAAACCTCTTATGTTAAAATTTTGTCAGAGTGAACTAGTGAAAGTCTTAGTTGATGGTCAAATGAATACTTTTTTTTCAGATCAATAAAATGTATTGTTGTTTTTCATGGTAACCGTGATGTTGCCACAACTCCAGTTTCCAGGACAGAATTTCATAGAGGCTACCATATCAGACTTTTGAATCTCTTTCATGGGTCAATAGCAATATCGACTCAACTTTAAAACTAAATATAAAACTTAATTGATCTTTGGATTAGTTTCTGTAATGCACAAAGATATTCTAGTTCTAGCCCGTCTTCGTTGAAATCTAACTTTCGCAGCGTAAGAACCAGATGGTTGACAAATTTAGAATTTCAGTCGCAAGAGTTGCCAGGATAGAGGACGGTTTAAAGACATGTACATTGATATGCAATTACAGCATAGGTCTTTGCAGCCAGAGCACTTGAAAGAGGAGAATTTAAACATCGACAAGAGTTGAAATGTGACTTTTCTTTTTAATTTTCTACGCTTATCAGAGGAGTTTGACAGTTTAGAGAAAAACCGTTGAAGTAAACAGTCATAATGGCGACACCAGGAGAAGGTATAAGAGATGTTAAGTAGGATTCTGGCACATTGTTTCAGTGACTACTGATCCCGCGTGTAAACCCTTCAATGGACCGGTGATATCTAGATCTTAACTCGAAGTCGTTTAACGTCGTTTCATTCTGTCTAAACCAAAATTAACAAACATGGGCAATAAAATATCATTTCAACCGATACAGACATCTAAGGAAGAAAACATTCTATATTCTGGACAATCCGTTCAAACAATAAGGAACGTCAACGAAAGTCTTCAGCTGCTTGAAAATACCGCTGACTAGCACGCGTGTTGATATGTTGATCATTTTGCAAGTTGTGAGAATATCGTCCTTCCGTTCCACATCTCGTTAACTCTTCGAGAGCCAGTGCATAGGAATTTTTAGAAGTTGAAGGGCTGGAAAATAAACTGACTGGAACTCCGCTTTTAGGGTTGGCTATGTAAATCTATATTATATTTGACAGGGACCACTCGTCGAAGCAGGGGTGAACTTGTTGTTGAACTTTCAATGGGGCGAAACCTCTATAAACCACAAAGAATCATGGGAGTTAAGCCTGAGAAAGAAACATTTTGTATTTGATTTTTGCTGAACTTTCACACTTTTTAAGAACAAAAAGGTAGCTCGGCATCTACAAGTTTTATAATCTAAGGCCGTTACACGTTTTATACTTATCCACCACACTGAGACAAGGGGAATCTCGCTCTATACAAAATTACGCTGTTAATTCAAGCTAACCACAAACGATTAATTCAACTCAAATAGTGTCTAGCATCTAATTTTTCCTTACAGTGTCAACCTAAATCAAAAATTAAGAACACGAGAATATAGTAACTGATCACTAACTTAAGAAGCTCTTAACTGTTAAACCAATTCTCTTTGTCTGTTCCTTAGGAAATGCACAGAGAACGGTGAGGAGAAAATGCATTCTAATTTCAAGCTGTGAAGTATGAAATAAGATGCTTGAGGGTAGTAATGTGCTTCACATGTTCTGGACGACAGAGCTAAATAACGAAATGCGACATCACAGTTATACGGCCAATAACACGGGCTCAAGCGCTCGAGGTTAAAATTCAGCGAAATTTGCGGCGAAAAATAGGGCTGGCATTTAAAACCAAGGCATTTTCCTATTTCCAGTGTTTTTAAGAAGAAAATTAAATTTTGAAAATATCTAGGGGATGTACAAAGTTTTTGGAAGTTATTCTGGAAGTTATTCTGTTAAAAAAAAAAATCAGCAAGGAAAAACGCTTAGAATCTATAGCATAGAAAATCGAACGTGCAAACGACTCAAATTCGTTTTCCGTTTTTTTCGTTCTGGAGGTCTGAGTGAATTCCGACCTTAGCTTTCTTTAGCTAGCGGCTCTTGAGTGCAAAAATACGAGTAAATATGTTTTCTTTAGAGATAATTTTTCTCCTATGTTGAATCGCAAGGAAAACAAACGACCTACTGGGCGCGAATGCTCGACACAGACGCTCTTTAGAGTACTCACAAAGATATTTGACGTAATACAGAAATGATTCAGTCTCTATAGTATATGACTAAGGAGAGGCATTTCCTACAATCTTATCGCAACAATACTGCTCTGCTAGATGTTTACATTCCACCAATTCGTGACACAAGGTATCGTACAAAACTTTGTAAGTGGCTTCGGAGCCTACTTTTTGTTTCCAAGCCATTAACATTTTATAAGCCTTCTCTTTCAGCTTCTTATTGGCTTGATCAAAGTCATCTATTGCAGCTTCGTTGAATCCCAGGCGTCTTCCTAATGTCTTCCATTTTTCTGCAAGTTCCCTGGACAGATATTCCAACTCCTCATCTGATGGTTCATCATCTTTAACCACATAGATATCTGAGGATAACAACAGAGGGAGAATAAGAAATTAGAAAAGGGATGCTTCAAGGCTTTGGCGAATAGCAAACAGTTGTGGCGAAAGGCGACTTCTCATTTTTTGGTATCATTCAATACCGAGTCGTCTGCCCTAGAGATTGTCAAGCCTGAGCGAGAAGACATTTGCAGCGGCAGGGGAACCATTTTCCCAACCCATACATGAAAAAAAATCGCTTAGAAAGTTTTCCAGACTCATTATCTATTTCTGACCTCTTATTATGCGTATGGCCCGACAAGCATCTTGAAAATGGAGGTCATTAACGTTAACGTATGGTTGTTCAAGATACACGGGTGTTGGATTAATGATAGAGCCCACTTTTAATTCACTATATTTTATTCTCTTCACATTATAAGTCGGTAAAGAGGATGTCTGATAAATATAATGCCAGGCTTTCTGCATAAACAAATTTTACCATGCATAAACGAGTAACAACAACATACAAACTTGAATAAAATACAATTAAAAAGGAAAATCCATCGCGACATTTTTAATCTCGGTACTACCTGCAGATTGGCGTCTCCTCTTCCTAGGGGATGCAACAGGGCTGCATGATGATGATCTTGAATTTGGACGCTTTACAATTGAATGTTTCACACTTTGGGAGGAAATACCTGCAGAATAATGGGGTTAATGAGATGGCTGGCTTGAGAACTAATGCAATTTTTATGGCGCTGATGGTTCGGAAACGTTGATGTGGTGATCCTGGACTGTGATCATTCGGGTATGACCCAACATTCACAAATAAAAGTGGCAAGTTTTGTCGATTTCTCTTATAAGTAACAATGAGCATTGACAAATTTGACGAAGGGGGCCGTTATATGGAAAAATATTCGATTCAAGATTTCATTTGCAAAGCAATAGCGGGTGCAAACGATTCATCACTGTCAGAGTTACTCCATCATTTTAACCATACAGCCAACGGAATAATTTCTAGAGAATTACACTTCTTTGTGTCTTTCCCAAGCCGTTTTGTGCTTTATTCGTTTTCAGCATCAAATTCCCTGCAAGGAGGGACGCACGCACCGTGGTCTGCATTGAGTTTACTGATACATAACAGAGACAATAAGCCATCACTGTTGAGCGCGAGGGGGGGCACGGCCCGATTTATTAACACATGAAGTAAGGCAGGTTATTATGACTTTCCGTTGAGAACACGTGCTTTGTCACTAAAAGCTACATTTTAAAAACCCATAGAGCCTACATTTCTGAATTTACATATTTTAGAACAAGATGACTGGTCTTAAGTAATTGTATTTATTCGAACAACATATTTTAAAACAAGATGACTAGTCCAGTAAATTGTATTTATTCGAACAACAACAAAACCTACAACAAAAACAACAACTTACCACTTCCTTCTTCAAAGTCAGAGGTGACAGGAATAGAAACCTAAATGGAGGAGGAAAATTTGCAATATTACGGGTGCGTATGAGGTGAATAGAAATGAGGAAATAAAGAAATTTACTAATTAATAAGAAAAAGGAAAAATAATTAAGAAAAAAGGCAGAGGCATAGAAAGGGACTTTAAAGCAACTGAAAAGTAAAGTAATCACAAAATCAAAATCAAAAATTTGCAAGGTCCTGCATGTTCATGTACTGTTTTCTGTGGGCAGGACATTTCTTTACCTATTCGACGTTCCTCAGTGTTTTGTTTCTAGTGATTCGTCCTTAATAAGTTTTGTGCCGCCTTAAATGACCTCATTATCTTACTCGGAAACTAGCTTTACTACTCCTAGGAGAAAGAAACCTAAAAATGGAGAACTTGCAAAAATGGCTTCTTTTCATCTTAGTAAGCGGTCTGACCACAGGCAATGCACTTTGGAAGTAAGGTGAGATATTTTTATTGAGAATTTGACTGTATTTTTACTTCCTAAGAGCGGTCGTAATTATTCCAATACAAACTAAAATTTTCGCCATGACTCTTATTTCGCAAGATGATCATCTCACAACTGGAGCTTGGGCTGCCTGTGGTTAAAGCATTGCTAATCCTTTTAATTAATTGTCATCTACTATAGTAAGGTTGGCATCAGTACTTTATTAGCTCTGGGCTAAAAGTGCATTTAAATAGCAAATCCACAAACCGTAAGATGTCACCTACTTGAAACGCTAATACCATGATAATGTTGCACAAAAGTTCCTGATTTTGGTCGCAAAACTTCACTCCTGGAACATTCTCACTTCCTAAGCAAACTTCACCACCAGTGTAATAAACTTTGTTCTCGTGGAATCTGTTAAAAATGAAATGAATTTCAATGAGGCAAACCTAACGTACACTAGCCGAGTCTTCGTCTAGAAAAGCACACGTTTTGAAATCTTTTCTTACAACCGAAAATGACAGCACATTTAACGAGAGCCCTACTGAATATTTAAAAACGAGCATTTGAAGACAATAAAGCCGAAACAAAACCAACATGTATATCTCCATGGTCCTATTGATTGATAAGAAAGCTTTAAAATCCATGGCGAAAAATGGTTAACTGACAGTTGAACAATGTACAATTTTACAATGGAAGGAATAAATCATTTCTATATAAGACTAGCATGACGTAACCTAGAAGTATTTAATTAAATCATATGTACTTGATGGGCCAGAAATAAATTGTATTATATTATACCTCACAAACTGCAGGGCATTTTTCTGGTCTGTGCCCTGAGGTATGATAGCCTCGGAAAGAGACACCAAAATTTTCTCCTCTCCACAGACTGGTTTAGAAGAGTAGCCTTCGACTTTGTAGGGTACGACACATTCCGATATTTTCCGTATTACATCAAAATACAGTCTTTGAGGATAGCAAAAAAGTTTGAGTTTAAAATGTCCACGAACACCGGTCTCACACAAGCACGTAAAAAATCGGGCATGCTGAGGCCTAGACCTATCGCAAAGTTTTCCTACAAACTCAGTGAAGCCCGAAGTAGATTGTAAAAGTGATCTCATCAACTTGATTGGACGAAATCTATCGAAAAAGAAAAGGAAAAATCAAACACAGCTCAAGCAATCCAATGCAAACGATTATCAGCCATTGCAGAGTAATCTTGAGTATATACGTACTCGAGTGGTCATTTCAATTATTGAATCTATAGTTAACCAAAAGAAATCCATGTTTGTATGACTGTACACTAAAATACGTTTGAATTTCCTCTACGTCATGCGTATTATTTTTTAAATAAAGCCGAAGAGAAATACTTACCCAGAGAAATGCCTAACTTTGAATTGCACTTTCC